CCCTCAGGTCACACTAATTCGCTCTTGTGCTAACTAAGCCATGCCTTTGATAATATAGCATTAACCCATTCACGAGGAAGGAGTCCCTGCGACCTCTTCTCAAAGCTCTGCCTCTTCACATCCTCAACATTCATATCTGGGTACTAAAGTCTTCAACCCACCAACTTTAAGGGTGGTAGTCAAGCTGTAGCGCACCTGTATAGAAATCCGGACTGAGCGAAAGCTTCACCGCTATGGCAGAAGGAGAACAGGTCGTGGAGAGGGCAGGCTGGCTGGCCCAGGCCTTCCAGTGCCTTCAAGCTATTTTACAACCCTGTAATTCAGACACGCCCAATAACAATGCAGAACATTCTAGTCCATAGACTTGGAAATAAATCCTGTCCTGAGATTGCATTGACTCTGGGCTTCCTGAGGAAAAGGCCAGTTTGGTCTGCTCACAGTCCCGCTCCCACTTCTCTTCACGCCTTGTGAGTCGACCGTTCCTAGGTTCGTTAGATTGGTCATAACATCAGTCTGGTTCTCTCATGAATATGAGGTCAAGTTAAATCTTTAGTATGATTTAGCGATTCTTTAGTATTTCCAACAATAAGAAAGTTTTCTAAACAGACCAAAACACAGTGTCACAGTCCAGTCTCCTAGTGGCAGGAGCTCCAGACATTTGTCAGTTTTCTTATCTATAAAACGGGAAGAACAGTAGGTACCAGGTGGATGCTGTGAGAATTTCCCAGTGGTCTTTGTCAAGCCTCCTGCCCTGGCTACAGGATACTTCCCAGAAGTTGCTGCTACTGCCGTGGGGTAGAGATGCTGCTGCCTGTATCAGCCAGCTTCCCTCCACTGTGACAAAATACCCAAGGAAATCAGCTTACGGGATGAAGGAAAGATTTGACTCACAGTTTCTAAGGATTCAGCCATGACTGGATGGCTCCATCACTGTGGATCTGTGGTAAGGCAGATCATCATGGAGGCCAGAAAGAGATGTGGTTTCTGGTAAAGCTGCTCCACTCATGGAAGGCAAGAAGTAGGGAGACAGAGAGGGAGGTACTGGGACAAGACAGACCCTCAAAGGTACATCTGCCACCTGCCCCCCTAATGACTCATTTCTTCTAACTGAGCCCTGTGGTGATATGTTGTGTACCCTAATAAACTTTGCCTGAAGATCAAAGAAGCAGAGCCAGCCACAGCCACCACCTCTGACCTCACCAACTCCTCAGCCTGTGAGAGCTCCAGCTGAAAAGGCTTCAGCCTGAAAAAGCCTTTAGTTCATGTCTCCTCATGCCTTATATACCTTTCTCCGCTCAGCCATCACTTCCTGGGATTAAAGGTGTGTGTGCTTCCCAGTACTGAGATTAAAGGTGTGTGCCACCACTGCCTGGCTCTGTTTTCTCTCCTAGACTGATCAATCTCATGTAGTCCAGGGTGGCTTTGAACTCACAGAGATCCAGATGGATCTCTGCCTCCTGAGTGCTAGGATTAAAGGTGTGTGCCACCACTGCCTGATCTCTATGTTTAATCTAGTGGCTTGTTCTGTCCTCTGGTCTTCAGGCCAATTTTATTAGGGTACACAATATATCACCACAGTGTTTTGCTTGTTCTTTGATGCAGGAGGACCCAACCCACTTAGGGTAGCACCATTCCCTAGGCAGGTGGTCCTAGGCTGTATAAGGCAGCTTGCTGAGCATGAGCCTGTGGGTAAGTCAGCAAGCATCATTCCTCCATGGTTGCTGCTGTACTTCCTTGTCTTGAGTGTTGAGTGAGTTCTTTGGTCAGAGGCAACACCTTATGCAATAGCAAGCAGGTCTACCTTCAGATTTCCCAGTTTGAGTTCCTGCTTTGACTTCCCTCAATGATGAACTATGACCTGGAAGTGTAAGTCAAAGAAGCTCTTTCCTCCCAAAGTTGCTTTTGATTAGAATGTTTTTTATTGTGCCATCAGAAAGGAAACTAAAACAATGGTACGTGGATAGAACCAGAGCTGAGAGGAGAGGAGCTGCCCTTACCTGCCTGTGCATGAAGGGACTCTGTCAGTGGCACAGAGTGCAAGGAGGGAAAAGCTGACAACTAGGCCCTGCCAGTATAGCAGGACATGGCAATAGCCTGGATGTCCTGTTCAGGATGGGTGTGGTCAGGGAGCCTCCAGGAAAACCAGGAGGGTAGGTTGATGTTTTCTGAGGGTAGCAGTGAACATGGGATTCTCTGTTCAGCATCCACAGTGTCGCAGCTCTACACTGATCCCTGGGTCATCTGTGGACTGCACAGCCACCTGTTGGTCCAGGGGCCATGGACATGCTCATGAAACAGGGTGGGTTCTGCTCCGAGGGAGTCTGCACTGAGTACTAGATACCTCTAATGAACAGGACAGCAGTGTCCTGCAGAAACTGCCTTCAATACCAGATCCCTTCTCCAGCAAACTTTGTGCCTATTTCTGCTCTCTCTCTGATACAGAACCAGGAAGGGTAGCAACCTTTGGAGAAATTAATGAGACTTTTTCCTTATGTTTGAACAGTCTAAATGGCACTGGGTTTCCTTAGGGACGATCCCAGCCTTAGGGGGTACAGAGACCAAAGGAGGCTGCTGAGAAGTTTTCCGAGTCTGGAATACTATTTACTGGCACAGCAATGGAGAAAACCTTTCCAAGTTCCTTTAGCTCCCATTTCACAGATGAAGATGCCTGGACATTTCCTCGCTGGCTCAGACTGGGTTCTTGGTGTCAGAGATGGGGTAGAGACTTCTGTCCTGATTCTGGGGTTGTGGAGCAGGCAGGGGCTATTCTTTACTCTTCCCAAGCTGAGACTTGCCTTAGAGATGAGAGGATCTCTGATATTTGCTCCTAGGTGAGGCAGCTTAGGTTTGGGAAGCTTTTGTCCAGTTGTATGTTGGGAGATGACATGTCACAAGCTTAGCGTGTTGAGCTGAAGGAGGCCTGAATCATTCCTGAGTCATCTGCAGTTTACCTGTGTTGGCGATAGCTGGTGGAACTTGCTAGAAGGGAGACAAGTGACTCTGGTCCATTGGAGAGTGGGAGCACAAAGCCTTCTGGGCCAGGGATCAATAGGGTAGCTGTAGATCCTTGGGTGTACTGGGTCGGGGCTATGGCACTTGACCAATCCAGAAAAACCCAGTTGTGACAACTACAGCTACAAATGTGTTTGAGGGCTCTGAGTGGTGGACATCCAAGGTATCTCGGGGTTTGTTAGCTATCCAGACTTGAAACCAGCCTTCTAAACCAAGTAGAAAGCTGCTTGGTCAGCTGTCACTGGAGGAGCGATTGGAATAGTCTTGGGGATCACTGGATTTTGTTGAGAGGGTGGGTGTTGGTTTGACTCAAAAAAGACTCAGCTGCAGAAGAACTGAACCAAGGTGTGAAGTGTTAGACTGACTTCCTCTTTACTACAAGTGACTGTCCCTGCCTTCACTCAGGAAACCAGGGTTTGATTTCTCAATGAGGAGGAGAACTTTTGGTGCGGAGCTCCGGAGGGAGAGGCAAGCAGATCTCTGGGTTTGAGGCCAACTCAGTCTATTTAGTGAGACCCTGTCTCAAAATTCAATTCAAAAACAAACAAATAAACAAAAATGATTGAGTCTGCCATGCCCTGTCATGGAAGGGGAAGGGGCTTGGACTCATTCTTCACTGGGGATTTATCTGCAGATGTTGATGGGGGAGATATTTTCTTGAGTGGTGTAGCCATTGGCAAGGTATACATGGCCCTGTAAACAAACTTCCACCCATGCTTTGCAAGCAATACCAACAAACCCCATTGGGTCATAAAAACCACATGCACGTGTGCACACACACACACACACACACACACACACACACACACACACGCACACACACATGAAAATAGAAGGGGGACTGGTTGGGGTAGGAGAGATGGCTCAGAGTTTAGGAACACTTGCTGTGCAACCATGAGGATTGGAGTTTGGATTCCAACACTCATATAACAAGGTAGGCGTCCAGCACACGCCTGCAACCCCGGCTCCAAGGAAGGCAGAGACAGAATTGCTAGGGCTTGATGGCTTCCAGCCTAGCTGAGAAAACTCAAGCCCCAGGCTCAGGGAGAGACCCTGCCTCAAAGACTAGGGAGAGAGAGTCAGAGGACACCGACACCCTCTTCTGGCCTCCTCTTGCACGCACAGGCGTGTGTACCTGCATACACATGTGCACATACACCATATACTTACTTACACAAGTAGGCACATGTGTGTAAATAGATATCTATAACAGGAAGACTAATTGAGGAAAAAAAATGAAGATTGCCAAGAGTACAAGAGAGAGTAAGGGGGAGGGATGAGTGTGTTCAAACTACACTGTGTACATACATAAAAATGTCATGATGAAACCCATTGTTATGTGTAATTAAGATATGCTAATAAAGGACCTAGAGATTAGTGTAATGGCCTTGAAATAAATTTGACAGTTCACTGTATTCACTGAGCATCAACAACAAGAAAATGTAGTTCCAAGCTATTGTGTGTGGGGTGGGGATGGCGGTGTTTTACTGTGTTTCTTTACCTTTTTTTGGGGGGGGTTTTTTTTCTTTTCTCTCTTTTTTTTTTTTTTTTTTTTTTTTTTTTTTTTTTTTTGGTTTTTCGAGACAGGGTTTCTCTGTGTAGCTTTGCGCCTTTCCTGGTACTCGCTTTGGAGACCAGGCTGGCCTCGAACTCACAGAGATCCACCTGGCTCTGCCTCCCGAGTGCTGGGATTAAAGGCGTGCGCCACCACCGCCCGGCTCTTTTCTCTCTTTTATTTGAGTGTCAAGAAGAGAGAGATAAAGGGCAGTCGGATGAGGAAGCAGAGGTCTTGCAAATGGTTGTTTTTAATCTTTCATAGCAGCCAGCCTTGAACTCCAGCAGACCAACCTCGCAAGCATTCATGCCCTGTTGCGGCCGAGACACCAACAGACCATCCCCAAATATCATTTTGCTCTCTGTCTCAGTGAGAAAGGGGGAAAAAAAAACAACAACAAGTAGCAGAAAGTGATTTCATGGTTTTCTAACAGGATGAAGGAAAAAGCAGTGGGAGCCCCACGCTTGTGAGATGCCATGCCACGGTCTGCGCTCACATCGACAGGAGCAGCAAAGCCAAGTTCCACAAAGATGAAGAACAGCCTGTCTGGGCTTCTGCAAATCGGGCTGGGTATCCCCAGTGAGTCCTGGAGGGAAGAGGCAGGAATGGCCTCTGGAGACCTACCACGGCTCTGAGCTGATGGACACTGATTCTGTAAGCAGGAAAAAGGCTGCGGCATGTACTGGCCTCTGAGGCCCAGAGCAGCTGGGGTTGTGACAGGTGTCAACTGCAGTGACAGCCTCCAGGTTCACCTGCCAAAGCCTTGTGGCCTCTCTACAGCCCCAGCTGTGTTTGACCCTGCAGTGGTGGCTAGGAGGTGGTGAGGGGAAGAAGGTGGAGGAGGAGGAGGAAGATGACGGTGGTGAGGCTGAGGAGGAGGAGGGAGGGAGAAGAGAAGGTAAGGGGGGAGGAGAAGGGAGAGAAAGGAGGGGAAGAGGAGGAAGAGAAGAGAGGGGAAGGGGAGGGAGGAGAGGAGAGGAGGAGGAGGAGGAAGAGGAGGAGGAGGGAGAGGAGGAGAGGGAAAGGAAGATAGAAGGAAAGGGAGGTGGCGGAGAAAGAGAGGAAGGAGATGAGGAGGAGGAGAAAAAGAGAGTAGGAGGAAGAGGAGGAGAGGGAAGGGAGGAGGGGAAAGAGGAGGGAGAGAGGAGAGAAGAGGTGAAGAGGAGGAGGGGCGGGGCGGGGGGGGGGGGAGGGAGGGAAGTCTTCAGGAGTTTTTAGTTCCTGGCTGGCCCCAGTAGCTCTTCAGCTCTGGATTTGCCTCCCCTCAGTGAGCCCCAGTTCTCTCATCTGCAGTAGTCAAGGGCTGGGCAGGAGCGGGAGTTCTGAGCCTTAGCGGGACTGGGGCCCGTGCGGTTAATTTCCTCTGTCAACTTGATGGCCCCAAGAAGGGCCATGGAGACTAGTCATGCACACCTCTGGTTGTATGTCTGAGGGCATTTCCAGAGAGGATTAGCTGAGGGGAGGGGACCCTGAGTATGGATGGCGATGTCTCATAGGCTGATAGCCTAGATGGAATAAGAGGAGAAGGCCTCTGGGGTGGGCTTTCTCTCTCTGCTCCCTGCACTGTGACGGGAGCTGTTCTGCTCCACCGTGATTCCTCACTGTGATGCACTGAACCCTCCGAAGCCGTGAGGCTAAACAAAATCTCCTTCTTTTAACTATCAGATACTCTTGTCGCAGTGACCAGAGGCTCCTCATCACAGCTCAGCATCACTAGTTTTTAATGGCTCCTCAGGGTATTCTCATGTGCTGCCTGAGAACCTTCAGCTTGCAGTCTCTACAGCTGGATCCGGCCCTCAAACATTGTCCATGCAGCTGGATAGGGCCTTTGAACCCATCTGAAGCCTGTGTCCCAAGGCAGACTACAAAGCTGCTCCCAACATCCTGGTCTGCCTCTTCCCGGGGATCCCAGGCTGTCTGTCCCAGGAGCAGTGGAGGACACTGCATCCCTGTAAGTTGAGTTACCAGGAAGCCTGTGCATGGTCACAGGGGGCTTGGTTACTGGAGTATGCAAAGTTGCTACCATGCTTGGGAAGGCAGATCCTGTGTCTGTGCAGTGGGGAGTGTTTCTTCTGGTCCCCTTTGAGAGAGGAGCCCCTTTCTGGGGAATCCCTGCCTGCATTTCTCTATCTTGGGGTGCATGGTGTGGGCGTGAAGTCTCTGTGATCTTTCTAGACTTTTTTCCTCACCTGCGAAATGCATCTAATGGTTGCACCTGCCTCACAGGTGTGGCTGAAAGAGATCAAACACAGAGCCCAGAGCATGGCCTGATGCCTGGACACCAAGTTCGTGGGCCTTGCTTCAGCTCCAGGATTAGACTGTCTTAGGCTATGTAAAGAATAGGGCTGTCCAGGCTGCATTGAGCTCGACATACCTGGTGACCGTCCAAGGCCCATCTGGGCAGGCTGGCCACCACTGTACCAGTTATTTAGGTGTCATTGTGAAAGGTCAACTCAAGGAAGAGGGATTTATTTGGGTTTGCGGTCTGAGGGGATACAGTTCATCGTGGTGGAGGGAGACATGGCAGTGGGTGGTGTATGACACGGTGGCGTATGACCTTCCATATGATAACTACTTATTACGTGATGCTGAGCAGGAAAGCATAGAAACTGTGACAGAGACTGGCTATAACCAGTAAGCCCTCCTCTTATAGCTCCATAGTCTGCAGCTAGGACCCATGTGCCAAAGGTTCCACCAGCTAGGACCAAGAGTTCAAACACAGGAGCCTGTGGGGACATTTCCCATTCAGGTCATACTCATTGTATTGCTGGACGCCAGCGTGGAAGGGGAGAGAGAAGAAAGGCGGGAAGCGGGGACTCCAGGGTGTGTGTGGAGTCTGCTTGGCTCACAGTCTGCTTTGAAGTGTCCCTCCAGGGTCGGATGCCACATAGGCTGGCCTGTGCACCCATGGAGGGAAGCGATGGTGTGCTCACTTGCTTCTCAGGTCTCCTCACAGCCAAGGCCTGACTGCCGGGAGCAAAATCTGCCACGGAGCGGACCTTGCACTTCGAGGCTGCGGCTGGAATTCAGATACTGGGGAAAATGTCGGAAACGATGGCGCTTTGACTCTTTTCCTCTTCTGCTGTCATATCAAAGCTATTTTGTTGGTATATATTCAAGGAATGTTTTTTAATCTCCCAAACGATAGCTTCTCTAAATGTTCCTGTCGTTGTAAATTACATTGTGATTCCCAAGCCAACTTTTTTCTTTTTCTTTTTTTTTAAAGAGTCAATTAAAAAATTCCCTCCAGGGACCTCTGCTATGGCATTCCGTCAGCACACTCGCCTCTATGGTTAAGCTTAGCTGTTTCTCTTTTTCCTCTCCAAATGTCCTTTGCTATACCCTGAAGGGCCGTCTGCCCCATTCCCTTCTCTAGATGTTGGAGATGACCAGAACACTGCTGCCATGAGCGGGCAGAGCCCTTGATCTCCTCAGCTCTGCCCCCCAGGAGCAGCCTGCATCCTACAGATCCCCTGTGCCATCTGGGTCCAGGTCTCTGGCCATTGAGTGTGGCTCTGGGTTCAGCAGCCTTCACCCCCTCCAACCTGTTGGCTGTTCTAATTGCCTTGTAGCTCTTGCCACATCTCCCAGCCTCCTCAGCTAATGAGTCATCCTTGCACGGCCATTTGTTTGTGCTGGTTTCAGACAGACTAATGCTTTTAATGGCATATAATCATTTTTCAGAAGTCATTTGATGCCACTAATCATCTCGGTAATATGCCGCGATGGAACGCATAATGACATTTGGACCAGGACAAATGGCGGCGTGATTCGTGCCTCCCCCTCCCTCTAATCTATATTTTACCATGCTCTCTCACCTGCTAATGCCATCAAGAGCTGCTAATAAACAGCCATCTTAAGGATTCCCCTCCCTCTGAGGTTTTCAAGGGCAGAGGGAGTATCAGGTAAAAGGAGGGATATCTTGCTGATTCTGCCCCTGGGCAGGCAAGAGTGGAGAGGTAGCTGCCTCCCATCCAGCAAATACCTGACTGGGACTCCTCTCATGCAGGGAGGATGCAAGTGTCCACAAAGAAGAAGGGAAGGGAGGAGAGGTTGGAAGGGAGCCAGAAAATGAGTCTGAGAATTCCTGGCTGGGAAGGTTCGCAGCGGATCCTCTGATGCTTCAGGTTCCATGGAGAAGTGGGGTTGGACCCAGAGCTGGAAGTGGGCTTGGAGGACAAACGGTGAGGACAGGGGCAGCTTTTCAGGGAGCAGGTCAGAGTCCCACTGCGGGGCCCCCAAGACAAGTGCAGCCGTGGGACCGGGGGAGATTGTATGGGAAGTGTCCTGAGTCGTCTGAGCCTCCACAGGCCAGAGGGGGTCTAACTCGGCTGTCTCGCCTCCTTAACCTGGGAACCTTGAGGCTTTGGAATTGCTCAAAGTTGCTGCCTGGGCTTTCTATCCCCAACTGGTTTGGTTCTGTTCAACTTGTAAGCAAATAAAGCCCCAAACTCCTGATTGGCTTCAGTCTGAGGCGTCTACCTGTTGCCATGGTCCCACCCCCCTTCACTGAGTTTACTGTTCCTTAGTCCAAATCTTCAGTCATTCATGGGTTTAAATGAAGTGCCATTTACCCTTAATGCCCTTTGGAGACTGAATGCTAATAAAATGCAGCAATTACAATAAATAGTAATGACAGGGGACAGCTGGACACGGCTTCGGGAGGCCGTGGGACAGGCTTGTGGGCTGTACCCATAGCAGCTGCCTCTCCCTGGAATGCAGATCCTGTGAAGAACCTGTTTTCACTCCTGAGATCCCAGTTTTTAGGGAAAGGCTTTCCAGCCTGGAGGATTAAGTTCTTCTGGCTTTCTTCTCCCCTGCACTTTCTCTGGGGTCTCCTCAGGGGACAACAGCATTCTCAGCCCTCATGATGGAGCCTCCCACCCACTGGATTAATCCACCCACAGAGTAGGGTGCAAGGTCCAGGACAACAAGAGCTGCCGAGGACCCCGAGTGGGCAGATAGACACCAAGGAGACAGGACAGAGGAATGGTTGCAGACATCCAGGGGTCATGGGTCTCAGCCCTGGGTCTGTCACTTGGCAAGCATACAATTTTGGGCAATGAACCACCTTGGGATCTGTGTGTTCACTTACAAAAGACTATTAGAGACACCTTCTTTGTGAGATCACTGTGAAGATTAAATCAAATAATTCACATGAATGCTGAACACAAAGTAGGCCCTCATGCAACATTGATTATTGACATTGCTGCCCTGGGCAGCGCGGATTCCTGCTGGACTTAAGAGAGTCCCTTGGCAGGAGACAAGAAGTAGAGGAGTGGGGGGAACTTGGCGGGTAAGGCAGGAGTGTCTGGTGGGGGGTCCTAGTTGAGTTCTTCCCCCACTGGGCTCTGCACCCCAGGCCACACTCATTCCCTGCTGCTGTTCCATCAGCACCGCACACAGAGATGTGGCCCAAACCCATCTGTTAGCGAATGGCAAAGCCCCCAGCGTCCTTGCGGGCGATTAATAATTTAGTGTAAGCTGCTGGGTGAGGGCTGACCGGAGTGCTGACATCCATTTTAATAAAGTCCTTTCCACTCCTCTTCAAGCTCAGGGTGAGGGACTGAGGGCTGCAGACCCTGCAGAGCCCATCACCCTACCCCCCTGCTCGTGGTGGGAATGGGACGTGGGGGTGCAGGAAGCCATGAATGCAGATGTGAGCCTGAAGTAGGGAGAGCTGCTCGAACGTGTGGCCAGGTCAGTTCTGAGGTCCAGGCAGGAGCAAACTCTGACTCTCTAAGACTGGAGAATTCTCCAGGGCTTCAAGGGCAAGATATGCCCTTTCTTGGCTTCCAGACCAGGCTATAGCATGCCTGAACCTGCGGAGGGCTCCTTCTGAACCAGAGCAGCAGTGGTGATGGTGACTTCTTATTAGTGGTTATGACATGTTTGGCATTAGGCAAAGGCCTACAGTGACCGTAGAGGAACAACATACACCCTGGGGAGCAGGGGCTGGTGGTTTGAATGAAAGTGCCCCCCTCAGCAGGATCGTGTATTTGAACATCGATCCTCAGTTTGTGGCACTCTTTGAGAGAAGCTATGGAGCCTTGAGGAGGTGAAGTCTTGCTGGAGGAAGTACCTCACTGGGGGATGGACTTTGAGGGCTGATGGCCCCACCCTGCTCCCTGTCTTTTTCTTGATCTGCTTCCTGTGTGTGGATGAAAATGTGATCATTTCAGGATGAAGTGAGCCAGCTTCCTGCTCTTGTTGCCACGCCATGGCGGCTCTGCCGGGATGGATTCTATCTCTCTGGAGCTGTAAGCCCGAACACACCCTTTCTTTCTTTCTTTCTTCCTTTCTTTCTTTTGGTCTTGGTGTTTTATAACAGCAACAGAAAAAAAACAAACCCACAAGGCAGTGTTGTTTCACAGGGGGAAGAAACAGAGTCTCAGGAAAGAAACTGATCTGTTGGGTTGTCAAGAAGAATATGGGGTTTTATTTCCTCAATACCTGTTGCAGTCTCACACCATAGGGGTGAGACTGCCTTTTCTTTCCCAAAAAACAAACAAGAAAAAACAAAATCCAGCAGATTCCTACTGTCCTGACTAGTTTTATGTCAACTTGGCATAAGCTAGAGCTATCAGAAAGAAAACCACAGTTGAGAAAATGACTCCATAGCATCTGACTGTAATGCCTTTTCTTAATTAGTGATCCATGAGGGAGGGCCCAGCTCATTGTGGGTGGTGTCATCCCTGGGCTGGTGGTCCTGGGTTCTACAGGAGAGCAGGCTGAGCAAGCCAGTAAGCAGCGCTCCTCCATGGCCTCTGCATCAGCTCCTGCCTCCAGGTTCCTGCCCTTCATGAGTTCCTGCCCTCACTGCCTTTGATGATGAACTGTGACATGAGACTGAGAGGGAGATAACCCCTTCCTTCCCAAGTTGCTTTGGGTCATGGTGTTTCATCACAGTAATAGTAAGCTAACTAAGATTAAGGACTTTTCTTTCCTCCCTGCCTCTTTCCCTCCCTCCTTTCCTTGTGTATACGTTGCTCAAATGTTTCTTATTCACTCAGATATTTTGCTAGCAGTAGAGAGAAACAAATGTCAGTAGAGTTCTTGCCAGAGAAGCTTCTAGAAGCTGGGTAGATGGCTCTGTTTGGGATTCCAACGAGAGAAGGCTCTGAGTACTCCTCTTTCACATAGGGATTCCCTTCTTGTGGTCCAGGCCAAGAAAGCTAAGCCTATCCTCAGGCAGAGCCTCAGGACTTCAGACAGCTATGGCTTCCCCTTTGGAGACTCCAAATCCTCCAGCCTATTGTGTGTCTCTCTTATGGTTCGGAGACTTACCTAGGTGTAGTCACATATGATAAGGAGAGGCTGTGAGTGTCCTGTCTGGGAATGGCCAGCCTCAGGGATGGAACAGGCCAGGCCATGATGCCAGGACTGTAGCCACTCTATCACGTAATCACTTGGTTCCTCCCTCTGCTTTGGTGATCCAAGAACAAGTGATGGAGACATTGAAGGTGAGGGGAACTACTTTCTCTCTAGGATTAGGACCCCAGGTCTGTCTACTGCAACCTGCATTTTGTTGTTGCTGTTTTATAGTCCAAAGATGCTGGGAAACACATCTAGGGTAGTCTCCTGGGCCACACTCCCCCAGGTCTTTTTTTTAATTTAAAAATATTTTCATTGATTTTTTAATGAATTTCATATAATGTGTTATGAACATATTCACCCCCTAACTCTCCCCATATCCACTCTCCAACTTCATGTCCTGGTTTTTAAACAACTCATCAACTCCAATTTGTGCTCTTGGGTGTAGGGCCACCTACTGGAGTGTGGTTGACCTATCAGGAGCCAAACCTCTTAACGACAACTGACTCTCCCCCATGACTCTCCCCCATGTCCATAGCTCCTCAGGTAAGGGTAAGAGCTCACAAACCCCTTCCCACTCCATCCTAGAACGCTGACTGGCTTGCTCCTGTTCAGGTCTCATGCAGGGAACCACAGCTCCTGTGGTTCATGAGTACAGCTTTCTCATCGGAATCAGAAGACAAGGCTTTGTTCTGGTCCTTCTCAACTTCTGGATCTTACAGTCTTAACATCCCATCTTCTGTAGAAATGATATCTTAGTGAGAAGAAATAAGAGGGGGGCGTTTCAGACTCTGAAAGAGTGAAAAATCCCTGAGTCCCTCTGGCTTGGGAAAGACTCACGGGCTACTGTGTCCTGATTCAGGCCATCACCTTGCCTCAGAAAGCCACAGCAGCGTTGGCGTCTTCTGAGGACAGCGAGGAGTTCAGGACATCTCTCGT